GATTAGTAACGTTGCGTCACACCCTTTATAACTTTTGCGCATGATTCGTGTTGATTTGGTTTTGTAAAGGTTTTGATTGTGTCAACATATTGTAAAGCCGTGTGTGATGGTGACAATGGTGTAGATTCTGGCCGATGTGATATATTTATATGTGATTTGAATGAATTATATACACCCCATTAGATTCATAGGCTAGTTGATAATTAGTGCATAACTTAACAAATGGTCAATGTCGCAGGGTCATAAATTAATCCTTTATATATGTCAGATAGTATAACTGGCGTGTAGCTCAAAAATTATCTCCGTATTTCAAACGGTATTTACAATGCTACCTATTTGATTTTGAATGTCAATACCTATGCTAATTTTATCTAGTCAGCAAATTTGCTCCATTCGGAACGTTTAATTTGATGTCATTTTTTCGGAAGCATTGTTGGAAATTAATTAGGTTATAGAAGGGATTGGCGGAATTGCCCCTATTGAAGTTTCGCTAAGCATTTTATTTTATCGTTTGTAAAGGATTGGTATAATTAGTTTAAGCTCTTTGAAAAGAATATCCTCAGTCAAATCTTGCAAGTCCTTTTCTGTGTAATCAAGGTATTGAAAGAACAGTTTTACAGTTCAATTATCATTTATCGATTAAGCTCGACTGATTTAGACCCAAAGTTAACAAATTCAATTTTCCCATTTCGATTGGAAAAAATGATTTACGCTCACCTCCCACCCCTGCGGCCAAATGTCACAGGTTTTTATTAAAAAGTTGGCGGTGGTGTTATTTAATATTAATGTTCTAAATGAGTTTGTAAGTAACATCTTGATAACCCATAAAATATTCCATTTTAAACAAATCCCCATAAAATTAAGTTGTTTTAAACTTTGGATTGTCCATTATATTTTATGTGGTAATTAAATAAATGATTGGTAATCAATCGAAATGGCCACCTACCAAAACTTCCACGAAACTCGTTAGAAGTTTACTAAAAAAAAGACAATTGTTATTTTAGCGTGCAAAATTGATAATTATCTCCAATTATTTAAATAAGCCGTAAAAATTTACATAATATGTAAAAGTACCAGATGAAGTGGGTATATTTGTGTTTTATCCTTTATACGCGAAACATTAATAATTCATAATTTCCCTTCGCATTGGCAGACCTGGATAATTTCGCAAAATATAATAACATTAATGAACCTGTTCTACAAATTACAGCAGATACAATTCGGAATTCTTTACATTCATTGTTTGATTTGATATTAAACGTGTGTACACGCGGTGAAGAAGTAATTGTTCTTGTCAATTGAATTGTTCATATGCTAGGCTTAAGCTGACCATTGATTAAACACAATCCCAAGGCCTACTCATTTCGATTATCACGCAGATGTCAGTACCTCGTGTGCGATGCTATTCTTCTCCCATTCTACTTGTAATTAATGATAGGAGTGGTTACATGTTCGAACTACAGATTTTGTGCACCCACTAACACTCTTTTACTCTAAGGTGAACCTAATAAACCAACCTTTAATCACGACACATCCTATCTTAGCTGACTTATTGTCTCTTTATTCCTTCTTTCATCCACTTTTTCTACTTTAAAAGCATGGCGCAGTCGGTAGGATTATTAGTTTATTTTTGGATTTCCTTTTCTTTTGATATCGTCAAAATCAAAAATATCCATTGCATGGATTATTTTGTTTCAATTTTATGAATATATTTTCAAAGCGTTTTAGAATGTTTTAAAAGACATTGTCTGTGTTCCGGTAAAAATAGTTTTACTTAACCCAAATAAATTTCTTTACACAAATACAAAATCTCTTTGTTTTAACTATGTATTACCGGCTATATATTCTCAATAGTAAATAAACCATACCTTTATTTGCTCAACTTAACTTTACAATTAGTTGTCGTGGGAAATATTCGGATAGCTTTGATAATATGTAGAACATAGTTACTGTCACTTACTGTTTGCTACTAGTTTTTTTGTCTCTGTTGATACAAACCCTGTTAAAGTTAAATTGCATATTCCTAAACTTTTTATATATGCCAGATTAGAATAATTAAAACTTTTAAAAAATAAACTTACCTGTCTTAAATATTAAACGATATCCTTATATGTGTATGGCAAACTCAAAATTCTCATTTCGCCTGAAATTGACAAACAGAAAACTAGGAAAGGTATAATACGTTCGGAATTTAAATTGATGAATTAACTAATTGTTTTTTGGCCTAGTTATAAACCTTATTGGCAAGGGCTATAATTAAATAATTTAGGTACATGATTTATTAAAACTTCTTCGTCCGTTTAATGACGAATTCTGCCGTGTGTCATCTATTATAACCAACTACAATGTTTATTAAAATAAAGATTTATAGATTGCCTTTAAAAGTAACATTTACTTCAAAGCGGCAATAATACTTTTTACCTTAAACAAAATTACTTGTCTGGAACCAGTATCGGCAATATATCGACATGAAAAAATACCACTACTCAGAAAGATATTAAAAGAAGATATTTACTTTGTTTTCAAATTTGTCTGTTATTATAAAATGTAAATAATGTACTATTTTTACTTTTAATTTTAACAATAAAAATGCGTTAAAATAATAATAAAAGAAACAAAGCATGGCAAAGAGGAAAATGTTGAATTTTGATGAGAGGAAATTAAACCATGCAATGTCAATTAGCTTTATTTTGTGAATCTGCAATTAGTATGGACCCGTATTAAGTATTCAGTGGGATGTCATACATAATCTAATATTGTCCGGAAAAGTTAGATGATTCGATTGTTCTTAATTTATTGATGGCCTCTATAGTTTGAGGTATTGGTAACAGCGAAACATTTAGTGGAAAATCAATGATGACCCGATCTGTGGTGTGTATAATTATCACTGAACCAATGCATAAAATAATGATAGGGTAATTAAAACTTATAGCCGACGTAATAATAGCAATAAATGCAACAGTTAATAGTTTCTAAATTAGTGAAATATCATGTCAAGTGAACCACTAGAAATTACATGCATAATTTAATATTATCTCAAATCTCTGCAAAGTTTTGATACCTTATTAGGAATTTTAATTTCCTCAGTTCCTTATTGATTTTACTTTATTATCAATCAATACTTTAGGTAAGTGATATTTCCACTATAACCTGATACCACCTTTTGTTTCAGACACTATATAGAACACAACAAAGCCTGTTAAGAGATACGGGAAATGAAGTGTTTATTAGAATAATATTTTATTTAATGGTAGTTTGCAATATGATTAATGTTATAAATCTATTATACAAATCGAGACATGTACATTTTGAATCCCAAACTGATATCGCCGGTTATAAATCAAACATATTGAATAAAAAACCGTCATAATGTAATTCATAAATTTAAAAAAATATTATATTTTATTAACATACACAAACTTTTTATTTAGTAAATTAACAACACACAATGAAAATTTTGTATTGAGTTTTAGACTAATTTATACATTCTATCTATATATATCGACTTCGAAAACTTCATTAAGAATATTGCTGATATAAATTGGAATCTTTATTTTAATCCGACGTTAATTTAGATCTGTAGAAGTATTAAAATCCTATAAAATTATCATCATTGAAAATAATCTTTACACCATTTAATATATCTTGGAAAAATCTTACAACAATTAAATCTAATATATTGATTGGTTAATGAGGATGAACTTATCAGAAAATCTGATCGCTTCTTAAGTTACGAGGCTTGTTCGTTCTGGAACACCCAGTGAGTTGTAAGAGCTAGTAGGATTGTGTAGGTAAAAATACAGTAAAAAATGGAATAGATAAAAAAAATTTATTAGACCATAAATATTTGGCGTTGGGCAATCGGCCCACTGTAAAATGCAAAAAGGTATAAAAATTTTGTTATTACACATTTAATTGTATTTAGTAAGTAGGCCATAAATTATTTTCAAAAAACGCTGTTTTGTAAATAACATATCGGTATAGGTAAGTATAGGTGTAAAGAATGTTTACTACCGACTTAAAAACGACATTGTAATTACGAATTATAATTTATTAAATAATGCAAACTTCCCCAGCTTTTATATTTTCCTGAATTATTAACTCAAGAAAGTTAATATATCACAAAAAACCCCTAGGGTGTAATACGATTGCGAAAGCTATTCAACGCTTAACCAAAGTTCTAGCTAATATACTGGGTGGTTTGAGGCATTTAATTCAAGCCTTAACCATATCCTTTTCCTCTGCATTAGACTCAACAACAGATTCCAGATAATGTTTCAAATATTTGTACAATTTATTATTCTAAACCTTAATTGACAAAATTTAATTACAACCAACCACTGTTTAACATTGTAAAATATCATATTTTAGTATTACGGCGCAGTGATATTTTTAATTAGATAAAAATATCATATAAGAATTTTTATTCTCCGAATTAAAAATATCATAGGAGATATTTTTAATTCATTTTAATTTTTATTTTATTAAATAAACACCCCTGGTATTCCAAACTAATTCTGTCGCTAGATGGCGGCACAATCACTGTGATCTACGACGAACGTGAGTCCGATGTCGCACAAATATCTGAATATTTAATAAATTAAAAATATATTTTGAATCCATTTCATTTTAATTTGCGAATTTAAAGTATGTGTTTAATAAAAAAAAACAAATATAAGAAACAGATATTTTAAATTCACACATAAAATTAATTCCTAAAAAAATCATGTTTTTTTTCAATTGAAAATATTACAATTCAAAACTTAAGAATCATCTGGAGTTTAACTTTTGGTTTTAATTTATAAAATGTTGAATGGTTGAAGCAAAATAAACAACGCAATTATTGTGTTGTTCTGCCGAATAATTGTTGTAATTATGCGATATGGATAGTGATTAAGTTCGTTCGGAATGCAAAAGTAAAGCTCTGTTTAATAATTGTTGAAATTAAAGTGAAGTGGGCAGTCGGTTGTGGCCAATGAGAAAGAGATATGATAGAAATCCAGTGATGAAGTACTAACCTAGCCTATCCGCATCGAGGAGTAAACAAGACTCAGCAGTGTGGTTTTGTCTTCTCGCGCGTTGTAGTTGAAACCACTGCACTAGCCATAGCAAGCACCACGTGCCGCACGAGATATAGGTACAAATAAATCGTCATGTGCAGTAAAAAACAGTTTTTTCGGTTTTTGGTGCTGTGCACCCTTCTAAGCGGCACTTTGACAGTACCGAAAAGACGGCAGACTTTTTCGAACATTTATTTGCCGAGGTGTAAATTTGACGAGAACATCATGAAAAACGACGATAGACTTTTCGATAAAATCGTTAATTCGCAATACGTTTTTACCGGTAAAGTGACCAACGATGTGAAATTCGAAAATTCCACGGTTAAGTTCAGTGTTTCGGTTCGTAGGTACTTTAAAAATACCGGTGCTGAAAAAAAGGATTTAGTGACGGTGATTAGAAGCGTCCACAAGGACGAAGGAGTGAAATGCAGGCAAATAATACGACCGAAATTCACCGCCATTTTCATCGGAAACAATCCCGATTTCGGGGAAAATATCGACATCGAATTGAGCTTATCACCGCTACCTGTTACGCTAGGTAATTTGGACCGCGTCAACTTGGCAGCCAAAGGTGAGTTTCCTTTGTCACGCCCTGTATAAATTAATATGCAACAAGATGAATCACAGTTGGTTCGCCTACACACCGTTGTTAATTAAATAAACAATTTTGTTGAAACGATTTTACAACAAAATAGCGAACAAAGCTTTTTATGAAAATATTTGTTTTAGATGTTAATTATTGCTAACAATAAGAGTTTTAAATATGGTACATGTGGTTGTTGTTTTACAAATTTCGATGATTTTGCCATCAGGTTTCTCCGCAAGCAGTTCTAACAATGAACTATTAAAATTTCCCGGAATTCAGTATCTAGCATTACAAGTTAAGTATGTACGTTTTCATGTGCAACTTTTGAACCAAACTTATAATAATAAAAACCGCCATTTTGAAATTTTTATCGTCCAATTGGCACATAAAATTTTTACGGTCAGAAGAAAATTAATAAAATGATAAATAATGTCAATTATTATGCAAAAATGAAGAAATAAAGGTGACCACGCCTATGCGCCCACATGCGTCCCTTAAAATGTCATATGCATCAAATGTTTTTATTGAGTTTTCTAGCATAAATTATTTTTTTAATTAGCTATTTCGCCTTTTGCGACCACCGTAGTAAATTATTTATTAGTTCCAGGAAGGTTCGCACAGAAACATTAAAAAATTATAGTCAATTATTATATATAACACTGTGTAAGAGCTATAGGGTTAAATACAGTATCTTACACACATATGACAGGTATATTAACGCGGCGGGGAGCATTACTATAACTCGATATAAATTTTATATCAAGCTGTGAATATAGTAAATTTTGCAAACTCAATGTTTGTAATGCAGTATTAAGCAAAATCAGAAGTACATAAACGCCTTTAATATTATGTTTTTACGTCTTTATAAATATTAATTATTTTTATTAAGTGTTTATCAAACACATTATTACCCACAATAAAGATATTATATTCAATAAATATATCATCAATAACGACGCTTAAAATAAAATGTAAACAAGAGCATTAGATGGTATTAGAGAAAATAAAAAACATTGTTTCCGCATATTTAATTTTGGGTTATTCGGCCTTTTGTTTTATTTCTATTTCTATTTATGTTTAGACGTAAATCTCGTTCACAAACATGCTGAAAGCATTTTTAAAGCCAGCACAGTGATTCACCTAGACAAAAGTCTATTGATAACTTTACATAGGTAGGTATACCTACTCGGTTTTGCGAAATATACTTTATTTAAACTTAATAGTATATTATGTATCAAGTTTTATAAACGCCATTTTAGTTACGAGTTTAATTAAGCACGAGCGAAGCTTGCGAGCGAGTGTTTAATAAAAACGAGTGTCTAGAGAAGTTTATAAACGAGTTGCATACTATACTTTATCTACGACGAACACAAAACAAAATTTAAAGCCAATTTTATTTTTTAAAATTTTGACATCGGTCAACTGTCACCCGAATTTAACCTCACTTTTTCCCAATTTATAATAAAGCTAAATTCAGCCCGTGACGTAAAATGTCGAAAAGCCACTGTTGTTAACTTCAGCCCGTCAATAAAACGCCATAAGGTCACAGCTCGTCAATGTAGGAGTAGGTAAAACTATTTAAACCAAGTGGTGAAAATTATTATTTTTTATTATTGGTTGTTTCACTGTTAGTCTAGAATGGGGTTTTTGGGAAGTCAGCATAAGTGGTTCTGCACTAATGCAAGAATTTTAAGAAATCATACATTTTGAATATATTTTTTAAAAATACAATTGTACATACATTAAATATTTATTACTGAGATATTACACTTCACGGTGGATAGGTTTTTAAATAGCAAATTATTGAACTTTTGAATTATAAAACAGCAACAATCTCATCTGCATATAAATTCTAACTGACATTCAGGAATTACATGCATCTATAATGTCGTAAACAGAGGTTTTTGCTTATTTAAAATGGTTAAAGCGCCATCCGTTGCATAAAATTTAAAGCAAAAACAGATTCACAGAGGATAGAATCAATTTTTGTAACACCTACATAAATGGTTATAAAAATGTATTACTTTTAATTTTTAATAATATTTTATATTTGATTCGATTGCTTTGGATGTGTTCAATTTACTTAGTGAACTGATATTTTTAGTATGCTTTTACTACCTCAGATATTTGAAAACATATAAGTTAACCTAGAGATCAGTCACGGAGGATAGGTTTTAGACTTTTAAAACATTGTAAAAAGTAATTAATTTCCGTTAAAAATCTGGAACCTGAGCTGTAATATCTACTTAATTATGAAAGATCAAAACACAATAAAAGTGTAGGTCAAACTCATCTAGTTTTATTAAATATTACGGGGTAACACCAACATTTCGTGAGATTCACCCAATTGGGTATAATAGTTCGCACTGCTACCATTTTAACTCCGTTATTATTGGTTAAATCACCAAATTGGTGACATTTTGTCTTCTGATTTTAATGGTGAAACAGATAAACAATTGAACGTCGGGCTTCCGAAATATTGTTTTTTTGTTTTCACCATTTTTATTAGAGTAAAAAAGGACATCAATTTGCTAACTGATTTGTAGCTCCAATGATAACAAAGTTAGCAATGGTGGTTTTCTATAAAATTTTACAAAAAAAAATGAACAAACTACAAATATGATTTTAACAGTGTGAGGACAAACAAAATCACTTTGGATCACTGTGCAGATGAATTCAGTTGCAAGACGAATTTGAGCCCAACAAAAATAATGAAAATAAGACATTAATAAATTGTTGTTGTGATTTCATAGCATGGCTGGCGTGAAAATTGCGCATCCAATGGATTAGTAATGAATTAATAAATAACCGACTTATACGTATCGTGACCATCGCCAAGCGATTTGAATTACACGTAATCAGGAAAAATTCTAGTGTCACACAGATAACGAAACAACAAAACAAAAAAAAACGCCGAGCGGCATTTTTTCTCCCGGGTATATCATAAGGTCACGTTATGAAGTCTTGTAATTTTGCCGCCAAAGCAATGCCCCAAGTCCTTAAAATGCTAATTTTGTGTGTAATTTTTGCGCCAAAATGTTATTTATCAGAACGTATTTAAGATATGATTTATAACGGTTATTATATCTTTTTGCATGCGAATTTTAATAAATAAATTATCACAATTATACAGGGAGAGGAATAAGTACATCGGCGTTTGAAAGGTGTTAATTAAATATTTTATTTCCACATAGGCATCATCTTAATGCCAATTGTGGCGCCATCGCTGTGTTCTCATGTTCAATCTTATTTATGGCTGTCGTTTAATTGATAATTAATTGTGAATCACTAATTACACGTTTTATTTACTTTTACCCTTAGGTTACAGACTCGAAAACGATAATAATAAGCTGTAGAATTTAGAACTTTGCACATCTATTATTCAGAGTTTATTGTCCTATTGGCGAAAAAGCCTATATAAATATCTTTGAAGAAGAAAATATTATTGGCTCGAGTAGTTTGGCTGTGCAGAAATTTTTAATGTGGCCTGTTTCGCTGAACTACAGACGGCCGACTCACTGATGATCTTTTATTTTGTCTGGATGTTTTCGTGTCATTGTTATCATATACAACCTTTATAATAAAAAAAATCAACATGCATTATTAAATCATTTTTGACGAAGTGGTGTACAAATAAAACTTGTATTTTCATCTAATTAAAATATCATCAATAAGGTTTTTTAATGCGTTGTAAAGGCCTACCTTCTGACAGCGGCCTTTTATGTTTTTTTATTTATTTATCGGTTTATTGAATCAATAAATCAAACTTTTTAATCTTCATGGGTAAAATTACATTTAATTTTAATGTTATTAGGGAACGGAGAGGGTCGAAAGAGCAAAACATTACAAGATAAAATTAGGAAAACAACAAGAAACAGTAATTCTACACATTAAATTAATAGATGGTATTTTCGTTAGACTGAAACTAAAAGGGATTTAACAGACTTAATTACGAAGACATTTAGGGTGAGGGTCTGTCATTTCGTAATAAACATTTCATCGATCATTTTTTAGACGATTTGTTTGCTTTATTTTAAGCCTTCACTTTTGACATTTTACATTTCCTTGTTTTACAAAATTTTAACATGTTTTAAAAAATATTTTTTTAAAGTGAAACTTTTTTGGACACGACACGGCTCGACGCATGTACGAGGTGTGTTCAGAAATTAACGGGAATTGTTAAATTTCGCGGGTTCAGAGGGTCCGGTTGTCATAAAATTTTCTTTATTATGTTGGTATACATGCCCCCGAAGTATGATAAAAACTTTGGCTGTTTTCATTGTTTACTTTGTCTGTGGCAGCCGCTAAGGTTAGACGTGTTTTATAAGCTCGGCGATTTTTCGTTCGTTAAAAGAAATGGATCAAAGAATTTATATCCAATTTTGCTTAAAAAATGAACTTAATTCTGTGAAATGTTAACAAAGGCCTATAGTGAGTCTGCTATAAGTAAAACAAGAGTTTACAAGTGGTATAAGAGTTTCCAAGATGGCCGTGAAGACGTTGAAGATGACGAACGCCCCGAACGCACAAGCACATTAACAACCGATAAAAACATGGAAAAAGTGAAAGAAATGGTTATAAACCATCAGAGAAGTCGCTGATGATGTTGGTATATCGATTGGCTCATCCCATGACATTTTTTCGAATGTTTTGGGTATGAAACGCGTGGCAGCAAAATTTGTTCTAAAATTGTTAAATTTTGAACAAAATTTTTGGCCAAAAACAATACTGTAATGATGCCCCAGCCCTCATATTCGCCAGACATGCCTCTGTCTGACTTTTTCCCATTCCCAAAAATAAAGAGAACCTTAAAGGGCCGTCGTTTTGCAAGCATAGATGACATTAAAAGCGCATCGCTGAAAGAACGAAAGGCTATCCCAAAGATCGAGTTTTAGAAGTGATTCAAGTATTGGAAGAAGAGCTGGCACATGTGCATAATATCCAATGGGGACTATTTTGAAGGCGACAACATTAATGTAGACGAA